AAGACAAGAATCTATTGGAGAAAGAAGATATAAAGATGGTACAAATACATGGAAGGACAAAATCAATGATAGTGGATATGAAAGTTTGATCACTGAATTACTGCCAGAAATTTTGGAAAGTGAAATAAAACAGGCCCTAGAAAGTACTGTTAACATTCTGAGGGAGTTTCTGAAATACCAGCAGAACTGCTTAAAATCGAATAAAACAATGAAGTTAAAATACTGCTTACAGTTTGTAAGCTACTATGGAAACCAGCAGTGGTCAAGAGAATCGAAAGTATCCATTTGTATTTCAATATTAAATCATTGTATTTATTTCATATAAGTTAATGCTCAAGAATTTGCAATCCTAACTTCAACAACAATGAACACCTGAGATCACTTTGTTAATATTCAGTGACTAATGGAAAAGTGAAAGGAGTTCCAAATTTTGGTTTTATTGACTATGCAGAGGGTTTTGAATATGGATAACCCTTAGAAAACATGGGTGCACCTCATCTGTCTATTGAAGCATTTGTATGATAACTAGGAAGCAGCAGAATGGAATATGGTGCAATTAAATAATTCAAAATTGGGAAAGAGGTATTCAAAGATTGTGTAATGTCCCCTTATTTATTTAACTTATATGCAGAGTGTGTCAAAAGAAATATTGGACTAGAAGAAATAGAATTTGGAGTGAAAAATTTAAAAAGTGAGAAAGACTTAAGGAATCTTTTTTTAAATGTGAAAAATGGCAACAAAAGCCAGGTTACTGTTCAGTATTTAAAAATTAAGATTATGTCAGCAGGCAATACCAACCTAATGAAATTTCAATAGAAATTGAAATAGTAACAGGTTTTATCATCCTAAGCTCAAAAACTTACTGTATTCATGAAATGGAGACATGTGCTACAATAAGAGAAAGTTTATGACAAATCTAAACACAATATTAAAGTGCAGAGTCTTCACAAGAGCAACTAATACACATATTGTCAAGCAATAATTTTTCCAGTTGTAATATTCAGGAAAGCCATCAGAAAAGATAAATGAAAAAACTGATGGCCTTTGAATTGTGGTGCTGGAGAAGGTTGTTGAGAATACCTGGGACTGCAAGAAGAACAAATCATTTAATACGGGTGTGAGAACTGGTTTTCATACTGATAAGAATTCTAATAGCCTTTTGCAAAAGAATTAACCATGCAGTCTGCCTCAAAGAACTCAAAAAGCAAATAGATAATCATGACAAAATGATGTCCTTTTGGTCATTAGGGGTTAGGCATGACTGATCAAAAAAGTGGTCCCCTGGATTTTTGCAAGCTAGATCTAGTAGTCCTACTTTCTCTGGAAGACCTGTGAGGCTGGAATCTTCTGCTTCTATTTGATATTAACTGCAGCTTGGCATAACATCCAAACCCAGATAAACTGGTCCTCTTATTCTTATTATGATTAATGGAAGTAAGTTAATTTTCTGTCAGCCCTCCCAGGTAAGCCAGACAGGAAAGATGACTAGATGAGCTAATTCTACTGTATTGTAAGAGTACATTAACAGAATCTTGCAAGTCTGAAAGTGAAAATCTCCCGCTCTCCCTATTTACCACCTGAGTAGTTAGGGCGGGTCCTTCCTAAGTTTCTTTCTCTGGCGATTACTCTGTTGTGGACTTCTTTCTCTTTTACCTAATTGTTCCCTAGGCGGCATCTCTTCCCTCCATCTTCCAAGATCACCCTCAAATTCCATCACATCTTCAGAGTGTATGGAATTGGCTTATTTTTGTTAACTCCTGGCTAAGAATAGAGTTAATGGGGCTTGGATAATATAAATGTAGCTAGCAGAAAATGGAAGCAAAGGTTTCTGAAATAGAATGTGCTGTCCTCTGGCTTGTTCCTTTTTGTAATGCCTGAACCAAGACAGTCGTATTAGTCAGTACTAGATTCAATAAAATAACTCAGTGATCTTTGCAGAAAAGCTGAGTACACTTAAGTACATAAGAGCACTTGAAAGAAAACATTTGATAAATTCGTTTCTACTTTTAAAATGTCTCCATCTCAAAAGTCACATCTTGTTTTTTTACTGACAGCTGGTCTGTTGTGTTTTGTTTTTCAGACAGCTTATCACCCACTTACAAGTTTTCACTCAGTTTTCAAATCCACGTGCTTTGTATTTAGAACCCAAATTGAATGAAATATATATACAGGTAAAGAATTTTTCATTTCATTAATTGAAAAAAAAGATTAATTTGATTAATACATGTGCATATTTATTATCTTACAAGGAGCTTGGAAGTAATTTGGGGGAGGCTTTTGGTTTAGAATCTGTTCCCAACCTCGTGTCTCCAGATACGTTGAGAACGCCATTCCCAGAATTTCTAGCCAATGTGATGCTGTCCTAATATATCAGGAGATCACCGGGTGGAGGAAGATTGTTGCTACAATGTTGTGTCCATAGTGTTCTGAAAGTAATGACTGATTAACTTGCATCAGTGCCTGGTTCTAAAATGACTAAACTATTCTCAAGAAATTAGTTGCTTAATCAGACCAGTAAAAATAAATAAAAAGGAAAAGGAAAAAATAAAAATAAAATTTATTCACATGACAATCTGCATTTTGATGTTCACGTTAGCAGTTAATAATTTCTGAGCTCTGTTACCATCTTTCTTGGTTGGTGGTGGAATTATTACGATAGTAGTAAGGAATGGCTTAAATCAACCTTGAATGTAATTAAGAAAAATCAGCTACAAGCTCTATGGCTTGCTGACTCCTATCCTGTACCTTTGGGTCCAGCAAGCCAAACATGCAAAGAGGGATGGAGTTTTGTTAGATATAGGATGAATTTGGGGGAAAGGAAAAGCCTTATAGGACAAATGGCTTAAGTGAGATAGTGTAGGAATTGCATAAATGTTTTTGGATTATAGTAACTGATTATACCTTTTGAGAAGGAAGAAGTTGATTCTTGGAGATTCCTGTTTTGAGGACCATTATTTTAATGTGCAATCCTTACAGTAGCTGGAGTTCAGTAGTAGAATGTAAATCAACGTTATAGTAATTAGGGCTACCAAATTCCTTGGTGGGAATCTGAAACATTACCACTGCTTAGGGATAGATGTTAGGAGTCTAAATGGTATGGTAATTATTAGAGAACCAATGGTCTTATATGAGAGTGTGTGTGTGTTTCATATTTTTACAGTGGTATATAAGAACACATGTTTGAAGTTCATGGACTCTGATTCTAAGAACAGTTTTTAAATGGAAAAAGCATTCTCTGTTTGTGGATTCTGCTATTTGCATAATTACCATCCTTCATGGATTCTCTTCAATAAAAGGATGGTGTAAATTGTGATAGAACATTGATTGCAATATGTTAATATAAGACAGTTCTAACTCATTTAACTCTGATTTGTTTTAAAACATCATCTTCAGCTGCTGACCCATCAAGATCAAAATGTGCAAAAAGTAGCTCTTGACTGCATCATGACTTACAAGCATCCTCATCTTCTGCCATATAAGTAAGAGATAACGTCTTCTCGATGGCATTGAAATATATGTGATTATACACTCATATCTATCACTTCAGACTTAATATATAGATTCTAGAATAGTGTTGTTTTATTTTGCTTTAGGTGATGTACATTTTTACTCCTTAGATTGTAATACTTTAGACTTATACTTGCACAGTTTAATGACATATTATTAACTTATGTTATATTTTTATTATAGAGACTCCTTGTTATGTTGGTATTTTATCCAATCCGTTTGATTTTATTTTCGTGTTGTATATTTTGTAAATTTTGCTGATCATTGATTGAAACTACTGCCACCATTCACATATGTCTTCTCAAACACTAAAAAGTTTATTACCTTGTATTTTAATAAATTATGTAAAGAATCTTTTTGTTTAAATTGCATTATGTACTTACAGAGAGAATTTACACCGGCTATTGGAAGACAAGAGTTTTAAAGAAGAAATAGTTCATTTCAGCATTTCTGAAGAAAACAGTATAGTAAAGCCACAGCACCGATCAGAACTTATTCCTGTTTTAATGAGGTAAGGGACTTATATACTGTATGTTAACATAGACATTATGCCTATACATACTTTGATAAAAGTTTAAAAATGAAATGTTGATGCCTACCTCCAAAAGAAGATGGAACTTCTGTATCCACTGTCCAGATTTTACTGTAAATGTACCCGTCTTTGCAATAGACTTGTTACTTAACTCATTTTATGTTCTTGTGTAAAACTGCTACTACAACTTATTTTTTAAAAAGTGACTTTTCTCTACAATTATGAAGCCTAGTTTCATAATTATACAGTGGGGCAAAGAAGTATTTAGTCAGCCACCAATTGTGCAAGTTCTCCCACTTAAA